GAACGTCTCAATTAGCAATCTTAACCCTTTGCATTCGACCATTTTTTCACTAAAGAAGAGTAGGAGTTGAAAAATTTTCTGCTACAAAGCTGACGATATTATTTTGAGCAGTAAATAAGAAATTGTATAATAATTAACACGTCACACGTACTTAATTTCGATACCTAGCACACTGTTACGTTATTTTAAATTTGACATATTAATTAATATAGATCTTCGAAATTTTATCAAATGGCGACTGAAGGGCACCTCTCGAGTGCAAAGGGTTAATTAAATTAGTAATCGATAAATAAAAATAATTAGTAATTAAAAATTATTTTAATTAGTATTTAACGATAGTGACAGAATTTTTCGGAAAGCGAAAATTTCGGATGTTGAAATTTGTGTACAATTTTTAAGTAATTATAATATATTATATATTCCACGTACAGTTATATTCGTTTTTCGTGCACGAAGGATTAAGAAACCATGGAGGGGAAACGATACACACATGGCGTATCAGAGGAAAATATGGTAAATCGAAGGATACAGTGACGAACGAGGGAATAACGTAGGGAGGGGGGGTGTAATGATGGGGTTGGAGAGGATTGCAGATAGCGTGAAGGGGAGAGTGATACTGGCGAGAATGAAAGAGTGATTGGATCAGAGAGTGGTAAATGAGAAATTGAAAGAAAAAATGGAGGGTGGGTGACAGAGGAAAAAATGAAGGGGGAGGAATGCGAAAAGGAGAGACTGAAGGACAGGATGATGAAAGGCTGAATGACAGAGAGGGTGGAAAGATAAAGAGGATGATGATAAGAAAAAAGAGAACGAGACGGAGAACGATAAAAGAGAGAGAGAGAGAGAGAGAGAGAGAGAGAGAGAGAGAGAGAAAGTGGGAGGATAACACGGGAGAAAGGCTGATAAAAGAGAGAACGAAGAGGAAGAGAAGATAAGGAGAGAAGGGGGTGATGATAATAGAGGGAATGAAACGTATTGTTGTCCGTAAGACGTATTCCCGTTTACACTAAGCGAGATATGGTTGTTTGGCGAGAGATCGTGATCGATGAATCGCAGGCATCTGCGATCTCTTGCCGATCATGGTGAACAATATGCGATCGGGTAACGTGTAATTATATGAAACGAGTATGGACTTCGTTCTGGGCGCTTCACTGGCCTTCCAACTTTTCCTCGGCTACAAAAGTAGATTTATGGTGTAGAAGCCGAGTCAGGTAAGGAATTTCAATTTACGATGAAAGGAAATTTCGTGGAATAAAATGAAATCGGCGGAAATACGAAAATTGAATTAAACACGGAAACCTGGTAAAGCGGGGATACAGAAAATAGACGGAAAATAGAAATCGAGGAAGCAGAAAAATTGATAAATTCTCGGCAATTAGAAGATCGAAGAATTTTCGAATGTATAAATGAAGGAATCAAGAAAACTTAAAATTCCATTAACCATCGAATTTTTATTAATTTTCTTCAAAGATTTTACGAGATAAATTGACGTATCGAAGAAATTATTATACACCACCATGACTATCGCTTTTATGAACCAACACGTAGCTACATTTATCGCAAGTTTGATCGATTTACTTTTTGAGCTTATGCATAATTTTTATCCTGCAACCATGTCTCACGGGGAATAATAAAACTTGAAATTGAGTTTCGATTCGATAATTAAAATCGAATATTTAATTAGTTCCTGACATAGCTAACGATGTAATTAAAAAAAAAAAAAAAAAAAAAAAA